CCTTGCTAGAAATCTTAAAATTTCTGAAAGGTTAAAGTCATAATCTAGATCTAAAAGCTAGTTGCACTCGGTTGAGAGATTTTTCGATGAAGAGCTTAAATTAGACCAGATGATGCCGGGATAATTAAAGTCGCCCATAAGAAAAATGGGTAAGTTTTGAAAGCGAACACGGACACGATTAATTGCATCATAAAGTTGCTCAACAAAATGAATTGATCTTGTAGTACGATAGACAAAAACCTAATACTAGCTTTTTGTGTCCAAAGGAAAGACCTAGCCATATTATTTCGAGATCAGATTTTATGTTTGTCAAAAAAGAATTAAGTTCAGGCACAGCTTCTATCAAAACTCCCCCGCCAGAAAGTTCCTTGCTGTCATTGCGCTAAGTATTAAAACTTTTACTACAATGAAATATTTCGGAATCCTTAACTTGAAAGGAAAGCCAAGTTTCAGTTACCACAACTGAACCAGCATCACATGAGTCAATCATTGGGCACAAGCCATCGCGTTTTTTAAGCAGACTTCGGATGTTCGAAAAAACAAATGGCACATTCGCTGGTCCCTCGCCCCTCTCGTACCGCTAGGCGGAGCCAGACGGCTGAAAAATTTGTGGAAGCACGCTAACATTTCTTTCGGAGCGCTGGAATAAGTTTGACACACATATTCGGTCTTCTTTGGTGGTGTACGTATAGCAGTTGTTATTTTGATAAAGCTTGTTGAAACGCAGTTTGAAAGTACTTCCTTGGTATTTGCCAAATTCTATTAGTTTTCTCCCAGCCTGGCAAGTAGCAATAGAATAATATGCACTGACAGTCACGCCTACCGTTTTTAGTTTAATTTTGCAAGATAAAATAAAATCCCTTGTTTTAAAGAAAAAGACTGTGCGATGATGGGGCGACATTTGTTTGCAGCAAATGCCCCTGGCCTATGTGAGCGCTTTATACCCAATGTTCCGTTTTTGGAAGGCAAGGAGCATTCGGAAAGCAGGCTTGTTATCTTCCGTTCAGCGTCACCCCAAGTTTCTAAAGCAAGATCAGCAATACCGGAAAAGATAACGTTTCGACGAGACCGGTCCTTCATATCATCGAGACCCCCCCCCCCCCCGCAAAGAAATGTTTTCATTCCGTAAGCTGCTATACTTCGTCTCATCCTACGATGGACTAAAGGCCAAAGCTACGGGCCGCCAGGCCCAATCACGTTCCACGCTAAACTATGATGTGCTTAACATTGATTAAGGATGGACGAATAATGCTCCTGATCAGAATGCGCTGCATTTATGGCTTCGACACTGCAAAAAGCCTGTATGTCGTGGCTTTCTTTGCGATATAAAATTGATGAGTCACTCAGTAACGTTCCTCAAAGGGAAATACCAGGCAATTTCTAAGTGGCTTGTGATTGGATCTGGTGGTTCGTAGCTTCTGCCTTTAGTCCATCGTAGGGTGAGACGAAGTTTAGACCGGCGTTACCGCGTGTTCTTGCTGTTTTGTTTCAAGAAGGGTTGTTTTAGTTTCAACGACATGCAACCTTTTGTTAATGTCAGTCACCTGTTCTTGCATAACTTTCTGTTTTTTGTTTATCTCATTTACACTGGTAAACAGCTTCAACTGTCCCTGTTCAAACTGGAGCGAGCGAGCCTTCAAGCTCTGTAAAAGATTATACATTTCGCTAAACTGCTTAGCCTGAACATATCTCATGGGACCAGGATTGGCCTCAACGTCGCCACGGCGAAGACTGCATAGGGTTTCTGACACACTAAAACAAATTTAAATATTGGTGTGGGCAAGACAAGAGCAGTAAAAAAAATATTATCGGATTGGTAACAATGATCATCCTTTCTTCCACACACCTGGAGTTGTGCGCACCCGGGGTGGTCATTTGGTTCACCCACCAAGACGTTTGAACTAGTAGAAAGCTTGCCAGGAACGTATGTGACTCTGCAGATCTGTTACCATTTATCTATTGGTTGCCAAGGTGGCACCACCGAAGGACCGAGTTTATGGCTCTCCGAGAGACTAGATAAGGGCACGCCAAAGGATGGAAAAAGGCTTTTCTACGGGTAAGTGCTGGCTGGCTGTCAGGACTCTGTCCGTAGTCTTTTTCGAAGAATGCATGATTAATATAAATGGTTTGCTTTTAGACGAAGGGAACTGCCTTTCAACCAGGGAATGTGACCCTGGGGTTGGCATGCTTTTTAGGCAAGTAAATTAGCATGGTTATGTTGTGGCAGGAAATTGTATGGGCTTGCTGTCCACAGCGAGTCAGCCGTCTGCTCCTGCAGCCAGTGGTTGACCGGTAAAAAGGGTGACTATCTGATGAGCAGGAGGAAGACGAAGCGACGAGAACTCGAGCATTTGTCTTCTCGAACATCAACCGGAATTCTTATATTGCGCATTCCATGCGTGTGCTCAAGTTACTGGTGCGCACAGTATTTAAAGGTGTGTATGAAGGATGCGAATTTGGACGCGTTTTCATCACGCGAGAAAAGTGATAAGTGTCGGCATTCCTTGAACGATCGCCACGTCCAATTTATCACGAAATCATATTTCTACGTTTCTAAATCTCTGCAAAGATTGCATCGTCCTTTTCAATCATCGAAAAGGCTTGTGGCAAGATGTGTACTATCAGTAAAGTCGTGCTCTAAAGTCGTCATCATCTAAGATGGCGTACTGCATCTTTTTCTTTTATTTTTTCATCCACTCCCACAAAATCCTCAGAAAATAAAAGTTAATGAAGCTTGAGCCCTTAAAAAAAACTTCGCGCATTTTCTGCTGCACCAGTGAGTGACAGCGCGTCCCCTTCTTTTTAGAGATACCGCGGAAACGGCTGACGGCGGCGAAGAAGCGGCAGTCGTGCTAACGAACTGCTACGCTTCGTACCGGCGCATGGGACCAGTCCCATGCTGTCGCTGTAGCGCAGCATGGGAAATTCAATGTCGTTCAGGTGCGATGTCTCCATGGCAATCGCGGAGATGAGAGGCGCCGATTTGGAAAATATGTGGGTGGCATCGGCGCCATCAGCGCAGTAAAACCCTGTGGTAAAACCTACCGGCAGACCGCCAGATCGCCGCTAACGCTCCCATTCTTCTACTACCCGGTGCCATTGTACGTCACGTACCGTCAAAATTACGCCACGGCTTTTTTTTTTTTTGCGGTGAGTTGGAGAGGAATAAAACTCGATCTTTCAATAATTTCTCTTGTAGAAGTTAATAAACATAAATGAAAAGGAATGCCTGTTCCGCGTTCAGTAAACTATGAAGGTTTAATGCAAAAGTTATTTGGCAAAAGTAAAAAGTCTATTTGACAATCCCTTTAAGAAAATTGTTTTTGATGTGCACCCTTACATAGATACTGTAAAAAATGTAAATAAAAACAATTAAAAGGCACATCCGGGGATAACCGGAAATAGCCAACTGATCACGCATGATAAAATGATTAAGTGATTGCCGGGTTCATGCGGTGTCTACGTTGCTCCGACCGTATAAAATGACAAGGGCTTCATAGCGCGAAAAGTGACATGAACAATAGTCCCGAAAGTGTCAAGCAGCAGTGTCACTCCTTCGCCCTGCTGCCACACTTCTTGGTGTACCAGTGGATGCGCTTCAAAGGGAAGCCAAACGACTCGGGCTTTGTAAAAAGCAGCGGCTTTAGAAAAAAAAAAAAAAAAAAAACCGGCTGGCCTGCAGGAGGCGCGTTTTTTCCGACGTTTCATGTTTCGAAAACATTTCTTCCGCACCTAACGTAGGAGAGAAAAAAAGAACAGGTAGGTCGGAGGGTAGCACTGTCCTAGCGTTAACTCCCCACAAGGCAAAGCTGATGTTGGCAAAAAAAAAAATATTAAGGATCGGCGTTACACTGCCCCCCATACCCCTCCCCCCCCCCCCTTTCCCAAACAAAAAGAAAAAGTGAAACTGGAGAGAAAGATTATTAGTGTCCGAGCGTTCTCCAGGCCGTGCGGTGGCCACCACAAGAGACTGGCGGTGCCAGGTAAGCAAATAACTTTGGAGCCAAGCAGCCCCGCACTCAGTATGGATCGAGTGCAAGGAATGCAAGGAGTAGGCTCATGAAGAGTGCGTTAGAGCTGACACAGTGTGTTTTAGGTGTTCTCTTTATTCCAAAAACTAAACTCATGCGTTTTTTTTCTTGTTTTTTTTTTTTTTAAGTGTGTCTAACTGTACCCCACTATGTTGTCTCATTTTGCCCCGCAGAGCGGGCTAAAGTGAGATATTGCATGACTTCCAGGTATTCTAGTTTTGCTTAATGTTTCCCTTGCTCCATATATATTGTCACGAACGACGGATGATGAGGCGACGAATGAAGAGAAAATAAAAGCTTAATTTGGCAAACTTGTGCCGAAAACAAAAATACATAGAGGTAGCGTCGCAGGCGTCGAAGGTCGCCGGAGTAGCACGACCGAGCTCGATAGCGAGACTGACCCCGGACCGTCTCGCGGAGAGTCTTTTGTACCATGCGTAGGTCTCCGGAACATTCGGCGTAGAGTGTTCGGCGCGTAGAACATTCGTAACTCGATCAGGCGACAAGTTTCTCAAACGTCTGAGGACGTCAAGTTGAAAAAAAATAAATGAAAGGTGAGTCCACTCCCTGGAATCAAACCTGGAGCATCCGCGCCAATTCCAAGCACGGTTTCCACGCGCAGGCCCGGCGACGCGCGTCGCAATATTTACTGAGGATAGAGTCAAGACTTCTAAGAATATCCCCACGCTGTGTATTTTTCAATATTAAGCAAAAATAAAAAGTACCATTGAAATGAAATTATTTTTGTCTCATTTTTCCCCACCTTACCCTAACACCTGCATCCGCCCCTGGTTACAAATATCCTGTTCTATACCAACCGTCGTCATGCTTCCTTCCGGTTACAGCGCCAGACGGTTCTAGAAAAGTTCCACGTGTCAAAAGTGCTCCAACGTATTCGGAATTGTAATCTTTTGTAGAGGCTTTTCCATCTAAAGATCGTGTAAGAGCTGCACACCGAGAATTGTCACAATGGATTCCGCTGCTGCTGGGGAAATTATGGCCACGCTGGATGACATTGAACGCATTGGGTGTTCCAACATGAACGAGAATGCTTGGATTATCAACAACACTGGAGCGGACGGGGAGCAGACGCTCAAGGAGAACCTGGCTGCCTTCCAGAGGTACGCTTCGCAGTAGCAGGAGTAAAGGTCAAATGTAAAGCAACGAGCTCAAGGTTTCGCCTTAAAAAAAAAAAAATATTGCAATTAAAACATGTTTTTTCTCAAAATGTTGCTATACAAATTGTCAGAGAAGCGGGAACTCTTGAAGGAAGAGATATTATTTAGACACGTTTACCTTGATTAATACAAGAGTGAAGTAAGCAAACGGGAAACACAGTGTTTGCTCTCTTGTTCTGTTAAAAAAATGGCAGCATGTTGACGAGGCTGTGCAATTTGGTTATTGTTATACCATAAGGGAAGGGCTCAAAGTAGTCTTATAAACAAATCAAAGTTAAAGATGTCACTTGCAAAACTGCAAGTTTACAAAAATCAGAAAACCCAAAGTGTCATCCTTATGAAATCTCTTGACCCCGGCATTACGTTGACTCCCAACATTTTGAACTATCTGGCCCCTACACTCAAACGAGTTCGAGACCCCTGTGTACATGTTTCTAAATTAGTCTGCAACATTTTTCTAAACTAGACTGCAACATGTTTCTAAATTTGGCTGCGACGTGAAGCTTAAATATACGGGACTATTGAAACGCACTCAACTCGTATGTCCAGTTTCTGAGAAACCCCGAATTACCAGGATATACAGGTTGTTTCTACAAAAAGAGCTGTCTGGCCGCCGCCATTCTGCGAATCGAGCGACCCCTATCAGCCAGAAATTTCTGGCACCCGCCTGAGTTGTGGTAGCCCGGTCAACGTGACTTCCCACCTGCATTGAGCATTCGGAGTTCGCCGGCATTTCTTGGAAGTTTTTCCTTGATTTGTCTGTTTAGGATGTTTACCCTTTGTGTGTTATCTTACACTGTCAGAAGGAGGGAATCCCAGGGCTCGTAGCCTGCTTGGCCTTCGCAGAAAACGAACGAAAAGAGCGAACTTCAAGCAGCCCGCAACGCAGGCAGTTAGAAGCTCTTGTAGGATTATTTCTGTCGAGATAATCTCCAAAAAGCCTTCCCGACTATGTTCCGGGTCTTCGCGAAAAATAGCTGATGGGGTCGGGTCCAAGGTTCATTTGCTTTGAAGCTCTGCAAAAAAAGCAGCTCTCTTCTACATTTGCAACAAAACACGCCGGATTCCGTCTGATCGTCGTTAAGTGACTACCGTCGACACTGTATATTGAATATGCTGTGTTAATTGAGACTTTTCTGAAATCTTGTTCGGATAACTCGGCACCCTGGGGTACGTACAATATATGTTGTTCGATTGATGAGACTCGTTGAATTTCATGTTGCGGGTGGGGAATGTCCATGCAGTTCGGATATCCTGTGTGGTGAATTATTTTCGACTGTTAAGATCGCTGTAGACTAACACGGCTGAGTGCACAGTGCCATAGAAAGATCAACATAAAATGAAACAAACATTCCAGTTGCATTTGTTTTGTTGCGCACGGTCTCCCCAAACAGCTTTCATTTCTTTGTTTTTGTTCCCAATAATCGTACAATGCATTCTTAAAAACCCCGAGAAATTCGATTTGCCAAGAAATCTGATCTCCGATCATGCCTGCCACTGTATCGGCACGGCTGACATATTCTTCACTGCCGCTTCGCACGCTGTGTTTATTTGTGTGCCTGTAACGCCTACATATGTTAGCGCCGATGGGGCGGAGTGAAAAACCGTCCCACACTCGCGGGTGTACAGTGCCTATTCCGTTGGAAGGATGCCCTCCAAAGATGTTTCGACAACATCGTTCGTGTCCATGATATTTCCCGACCAGTATGGAATGCTCTCTATGTCCTGAAGAAGGATTTGGACGGTGTACAAAGTGAAAGATATGAATCTAAGGATAGGTACTATGAGACTAAAAATCACTAGAAAATCGACGTTACCGTATGGCAGTTTAGGTGTGCCAATTGCTTTTCGATCAGCCTGCTTTCGGACGTGGAAATTGCCTTTCTATACATATGGGGTTGCAGGTAGGCATTAGGTAACTAAAAAACAAAACGCGGGTATAATTTTTTTATCAAATTAACGTAAAAGTACTGACACGCCTCAATAAAAAAATATATTGTTTTAAAAACTCTTATTAAATATAATTCAGATACATATATCCTTTAAACCACTATACAAAATAATTAATTTGTTTTTCACAAGCTTTTATAAACAAGGGAAATTGACTCTTCAATTGGCCCAATACCTGAAAACAGTGGAAAAGAGTTCACTGTAAATTTATTGAGATCGTTAGAGTGGTTTAATTCAAAACTTTTTCTACATAAAACCGACGTCATACTAGAGTAATTACCGCTTCATTTGTTTGGTCATTGAGAAAGTTTTATTTGCTGTTATACCACAGCAGAGAACATAAAGATTAACTTCGAAGTTCATGTAAAAATCCCGAGAAAACAGCTCCTTTCCGCCAAATTGTTTTCTCTCGCATTCGTGCACACGGTGACACTGCTGCCAGTGCCTGAGCTGAGTGCCGAACTGGAACCGAACCAAACCGAAACTCGGAACCTAACCGTAATTTTTAGCCGAGCCGGAATTGCAGCGAACCAAAACTTTCGCCGACATCTTGGAACTGAACCGGAACAAAACCGATAGCGTGAGGTACCACTGGTTTCTGTGCAAGGAGTGGAGTTTGACCGGTGCTCGCCTATCTTGCCACACAGACTGCGTCTTCGGCCAAGGGTTCTCCGAGGCGTTGCACACCGGCAATTGGAGGTAACCCTTTTGGGTGACCAGAAGCTGTCGCTACCGGTCGGGATCTCGCCGACGGCCCTCCATAAATTATCGCACCCGGACGGAGAAATTGCCACCGCTAGAGGTGAGGGCATCGCAGCATCCCAATCTAAAGGCCGGTTCACACGGCACCGACCGCTTACGTTTTGTTATGTTTCCTGAACCCTTCGTCCGCCCATGACGGGGGTCACTGGAACAGCTGTGCTTCGTGCGAAGCGTGGCAACCAGTTGAAGAAGTAACCTTGCGGCGACATTTTGAGGGACAAAGAAGTTCCGGCGACCTATGACGTAACGAAAGAAAATGGAAAAAAATGCTTCTGTGCGAATGAGCCTTTAGTCGCACATGTAGCCAACGTCACCTATACTCGGTGACATCTTAAAAGAACCCACAAGATATTCAGCCTCAATCACGAGCTTGTTGCCATCCACCGAGATTTGGCTGAGCGTGCGAATAAGTGCTATCAAAGGTGGCAAGCTCGCACTCGAGGCAAAGGATCCACAGGGTCCATAGCCTGTCACCACTATGTTTTATTAACAAAGCCTGTGGCCAGTATCCTCTAGCTCCGCGTAGTGTCACCACACTTGGATGGCGCTAACTTGGCAATACTGTAGAGACCGGTTATTACAAAGTCGGGTATAACGAAATAGCGGAGATTGCGAAGGGATTTCCGACCCCCGGTGAGTTCGTGTTAAGCGGTCTCGACAGTATACCCTTTTCCTGAAAGCGCGCCATCTGGTAGCAGCTGCACCAATTATCCGAGCCAGCCATTGCTTGAGCACGTTCCATGAGCACGCACCGGACACGAGTACGGTGTTGGCGTTCGGCGTGAACTCTGCTCGGCTATAGTAATGACTAGAACCACTAAACGAGCTAGTAGTGGCAACGAGCGCTGCATCCGCATTGGGCGCGGACTCGGATCCAACCACACGCTTTTTGCTCCAGCAATGGCGGCCGCCACTATTGCTCGATGGTGATTTCGAAAAGAATCTAAGTGCCCAATCTCCTTCGGCCAAGGGCCCTAAACGCATTGACCACGTAAGTTATGACGTCACAACATGGCGCTGTGCCCAAAACAAACCGTTGCTAGGGCCATTGCTATTGACGAATGCATTGGGGCGCGACCTGAGGTTAGAATATGACCGATAAGTAAGTAAATAATTTTTTTTAGGGCCCCATATCTTCTCAATATCTAATGATTGATATTTTTTATCGTCTCAGTGTCATAAAATGATAATAAAAGCCCGTAATAAAGTTCTACCAGTTTGCCTTGCTAGCAGATGGCACGATGGCTACAGGGCTCAGTGGATGTTTCCGAGGGAGTACGCGACTGCGTTAATTTAAGTTGGTGACGAGCGACGAAATTTCTCTTCTCCGGGTCAACTTTCTGTGTGACTTTGGAAGCGAGGAGTGCCCGTGCACAGCTTTGATCGACGATTGAGGTGCGCGAGAGTGCGAGCACCTACCCGTGGAGGCTTCCGCAATATTGGGAAGGGGTGAAAACACTACGAAGCCGAATAACGTTTGACGACGATGTGAAGGATATCAAGGTTGTAGTGTAGGCCGGGTCTTTTTTTATGGAGTTCTCACGCCACAGAAGTTGGTTCAGTACACAATTATGTGATAAAATGAACTGTCCATCACAAAAATATAGCTGACCTGATGTTTTTGTTCATGGAGATCTTTCGCTTTCATGTCTTACTGAAAACGAAAGAATTCGCAGTATTTTTTCTCAGTGTGTTGATTACTAGGAGGAACAAAACAAACATCCATATTGCGAGCCTAAAAGGCGAGGATTGGTGCCTCGAACCAATCGTGTTAGAGTCACAGCAATCGCTCCTTTAATGCAATGCATATCCAATGCAAAATCTAGGAGGGCCTGACGCTCCTTTGCTGTCAGGTTCTAAACAGGTGCTTCTCTCGCTGTATTTTTAGCAGATCTCCATAAGTGTGATGATTTTCCTCCCACAGTATCCCGTTGTACGCGAATACAATTGGATATTATAAGCCTGATGAGGTTTGTTAGACCTTCTTTGTTCCCCAATAAATGCAGGATAAAATTCGTACCATTACGAAAACGAGTCAAGCTACATGTAGACGGAATACTTCAGTCATTCCGTACTCGTTCGTCTGTAGCAGGCTTCTCGATACATCTCGAGGACCGAAAGTTGCCGTCGTAAATATCATCACAAATAGCCGATTCTCGCCGAACTTCTGTCTTGGTAAGTTTGACATCTAGGGTTTTTATACCTATGGTTTTTAGACGTTTAAATGCCATGTCCGATTTTTGAACGATGGTTCTTTTGGTGCGAAATCCAGTCCCATATATTCATCTATAGCAACGTTAGCGACGGATCGACGGTTCGTTTGAAGCAGTGACGACAAGCTTACGGGATCAAATGACTGGACATGGGGCGGCCTAGTCCAAGGCGGACGCGGCAACGCTATCATATTCTGTGCCTGCGCTCGTTTGCACTGTGATCCTATCGTAATGTGTGTGCATAGAATTTGTGTATTCCATGCGGTGTTATTGTAGATCGCTGGATTGTGTTGGCTTATATTAAGTGTTCTTTTTTTTTCTTTTCTTTAATGGTGAAGCTCACATTTTGTTAAAAACGTTCAAATCTTTGTATCAAGGATTAGCAGGAAATAGTTTAGTATGCCTAAAGTTTTGCGTGACATCGACTTCCTAAACAACTATTTTAACGACGCAGCTACGAAAGCTCTAGTCGAATTCTGTTTCCGGTAGTATGATGGCGACAGGATTTTAGCACTGCACTTCTTGTTTGTCTAGATGGCGTTGTTACTTTACGACAATAAGATTTAGGTTATAGGTCTCGAACTCGGTATTTAGACCCCCCCCCCCCCCACACACACACTTATATATATATATATATATAATTGCATCTCAAGCCTCACGTTGCAACCTAATTGTTGCAACAAAACGAACGAGGTGTACGATACTAATATATAAATTAACATAAAACTAGTTCATAATTTAGATCAACATAACAGCACCTGGAGCTACAGCATAAAGTGTTTTTTTTTAAATATTATTCACAAACAATTCAGTTGGCAAATAAAAAAAAAGAAAAGGAAAAGGGGCAGAAAGTTTTAGAATATTAGAATTTCTGACAGAAAATATAATTGCAAGCTATATTTATGTTTAAAAAATGAAAGTTGATCCTTTCTCTCCCGAATTGTCAAGTTTCGCGAGAAACACATATAACTTCCAGAAAGACAAGAAAACACAAAACGATCCTTATTCTTTGTGTTATCCCCTTCTACCGTGCAAGTCACAGGTCTTGTCGTTCCGAACTGGAAAAGGAGACATGCATTTAGTTTTTTTAGACGTAAACCCTCATTTACAGAAATCTTGTATATCGCATACCTGCATTAGCTTAGAAGTTAGCACACGTCACATATTGTAAATACAACCAACTATAGTTTTCTGCTCATATTGTTAAAACAGTTAATTAACATTTATGGGCTGGTTTCTAAGTCCTGATTGTCACAAAGATATGTAATAAGAACATAATAATATGGCGTGCGACAATCACGTGGGACATCTCATCACGTGGTCATGGTCATGGTCACATGGTCATGTGATTGACTTCGCGGTGGACGTGACTGTGTCACTCTACGTCACTGACACGTGATACCGTGACCTCACAGTGTCACGTGGCCACGCAACTTGACGTCGCGGTGCCCAACCGCGCACCTTGATGTCACAGGGTCGCGTGACCTAGTGATCATAGATTGCCTCGAGATCACGTAAGTGAATGTCACAGTGTCACATGACACCGTTAAGTAACTGTCGTCTTGTGACGTAATCGCTGGGTTGAAGTCACATGACTACTAATAACTAAATTGCAATAAAAAATACCATGCGTCGAGCTAACAGCATCTCAGGTCTCCCTTCTTCATGATTCGGACTTTTATACGTAGGATCAAGGTGATAATGTCTTATTTTACTGCTTTAGGGAGCCAGGCTGAGAGATCCTTGATGATACTGAGCACCCACAGCAGCACCAGCATCGAAGATGTGAAGCAGGCAGCACCAGAGGGAATTTGCTGGTTCCAGGTGCAGATCTTCAGAGACCGAGACCTTACAAGGAACCTCGTTAGCCGCGCCGAAAGGGCCGGCTGCCGAGCGATCGTGCTCACCGCGGACATGACAGTGACTGGAAATCATGTCGCCAGACGGAAGAAGGGTTGCAGCATGCCGAAAGAAATCAGGTGCGTTCATTCAGGTTTTCCAAAATCGGGATATGCCCAAATGAAGGGCTCACATCAAGGAAAGCGTTCAAAGCAGAAAGGCGTCTTGATCACGGCCAGTTTATATTTAAGGACAAACAGGTATTGTATTATGTTCTTGTTTAGACAGGGCAAAAGTAGTGAGCCCTCCCTAATGTGCGTCTGGTGTCTATGCTGAAGAAGAAATAAAGTTTTGCCGGTAGGGTACTGCTGCTTGTTTGGTGTCTTTTACCTACACTGCGCAGAGAGTGGTACACGACCGCGTGCCGGAACGATGCTCATCAAATCGAAACGGGCAGCAGTGGGTATTGAGGCTATGGAGTTCTCGGTTCTGCTACGCGAGATTACATAAAAATCAGCTCTTCGAAATTCGGTACATGTACCGATCAATGGGTGGCACCGAATCAAGCCTTGCGTGCAAAAAAGGTGTCTTGACGTCGGTCTGTTTGTGTCTCAAGCCAAGCACTACGGGAGCTGTAATAACCTATAGACCGTTCCATTAGGGTCATAGCAGAAAGGGTAATAAAGAAAAAAAATGTCCTCCCCCTCTCACCCACATGTCTTCCGCTCCGCCGAGTGGGCTGTGCCTAGCACCCGGCTAGCGTACAAACTCTGTTTAAAATCGCGTCATTTTGGAAATTTGAAGCGCAGATGCGCAAACTTTGGTATGACAGTTATCGTGTAATACTGTGCTAGATAGAAAAGACTAACAGGGTCCAATTGCGCTGTTACCTGCGTGCAAATAAAAAACATTGGGAAAACTGTGTCAGAATGGCCGGCCTACCCGGCGAAATGTAAATCCGGTTGCTGCACTTATATACAAAGTTCGTACTGGTGTAGGCCTTTAGCGACCATGAGTGAAAGTCTGAAATATTAAATAAAAACGTGCTCTCCTGCCGCAGTACACGCAATAGTTGAGGGTAGTACTGCCGGCTGACTCAACTGCTATTTAAGTAACGGAAAAAGGAAATGCTAGTTGATCATTTGCCGGAATAGAACAACAGAGAGCTATAGGCTGATTTTGGACTATACTCTCAGAAAAAAGGGTGTATTCTTACACCCTTCTTCCCATATAATACACCCCAAAACTTCAATTCGACGTACAGCGCCTGCAGTCGTGCAGACGGCCTTAAATGTTACGAGAAGCTTGATAGCCGTGTAGTACAACTTATTAAAATAGGTAATGTACGTGTTTCTGACTACAAAAAAAAAAAATAATCGAAGTTTTCTTGGCTTTACCGCAACAGCAGCCACGAGTGAGAGTTCGACGTTCCGTACAGCCTGCCGGTACAGCCCAAAGATGGAGAATGGCAACCTCCCGGTTTGTCGTCTGCTAGCGGAGTCGGGCGCGTGCCCTCTCTCTCGTTTTTGCCCCGCCGAACCCGCTGAATTTCCCGGATGTATCGAGGGGGCGCTGCTGCCGAACAAAATCGTGCCGCCCAGAGAGCGCTAAATGGAATGGTCTATAGACCTTTTTCGCAAGGGCGCCGCGATCTTGACTTGTCGTCACTTCCAGTATGGGCGAAAACATTGTTTTGCCGTCGCCACGCCGATAGAAGGTATTTAGGACATAAACGTAACCGTCACACATTCTCGTTTTGCCTTCCCTCCTATTTTTTTTACTATTTGCAGGTTGAAAAGTTTTGATACTTTTTCGTCGCCCATACGGGATATGCCTACGTGACAATCGGGGGCGAGAGTAAGCGGAAAAGGTCTATACACCAACGCGCTACAATGACGTAACGCTGCTGCGGTTGCGCTACTGTTGGCATGGCGCAGGCGCGTTCACTTCACATCAGTCGAACTTGATTTCTGCAAACGTGCAGTGCCCACACATGATATGGAAAAACGCTGATTTGTTTGGAAACAGCGTTTTGGATTACAAGAAAGAAGGTGTACGATCTTTAGTACGGCGCTGTGCTCACTAAAACAGATTTGTGTGCTTACAACTTACACCTTTTGTGATGCTGTATAAAAATACGACCGCTGTAACACAACTGTACCTAATTTACTTTTTGCAAAAGATGCGGGAAAGTAGTAAAAGAAGGGGGGGGGGGGGGGGAGGGCGATAGAAACTTTATTGGTGTCTCTTTCACCGCAAAATATAAATTCGCGTCGCCTATAACGCTCAGTCTCCGCCAGAAATGTAGCGCTACAAGTTGAGTCCAGCTGTCAAAGGTTTAGAACTTGAAATGAGAGTTAGAGGCAACCTGCAATGCTGTTTGGTTTGGCGCCATCTAGCGACTGAAGCAAGAAATATTGGGTACCCCTGGGAGTGGCGGCTGCATTGTTCAAACGTGAGCTATTACTCTGGTGGCGTCCCTGAGCCTAGTGTCTGAAGCAAGAAATACTGGGTATCCCAGTAAGCCGTGATCGCGTAACGTGCCAGTAGAGCGAAAGCTACGGCCCTGGCAGGCTAATCGGAACGTGACTGCGTATCACCGGAGCGCGCCTTAACTCCGAAAAAGTATCAGACTTTTCGCTGCGTCATGCTCCAAGATGTGTGCGTTGCGCTCGTATACGTCGCGCATTTCGAAGCATTCGGCACGCAATGTGGGGCTTATCGTTCGCCGTTTGCCAAGTTACAACGAGATAGTGTAAAACCGTGCGCTCTCACCCTGTTGGCGCCGCCTGGCAGTTGCCGGCTGCCTAGTGCAGAAGCAATCTGGTGCATGATAAAACAAAAAGATACTCAAAATTAAAAAAAAAGAAACAAGAAAAATGGAGACTTACAAAAGGGCGTTGTTGTGTTTTTTCTCTTTAATGTTTCTATAGTATGTTATTCTTCAGTGAGTCAGAAGGATCCCAATGACTGACGAAGCACAGATTACGATTAGATCTAAAATTGCAATGAGCATAGGGACAACGGAAAAGAGAAATGTCACGCTAATTGTCCCTGTGCATATCGGACATTTTTTTTTTTTTTATTGCATTTCGAGCTTCGTTATTTGCTTGGATATTTCTATTCGCAACTTTCAGCGATGGTGGTACCGCGGTGTGAGAATCGCTTTCTCTACCTCCTTGCCTAGACCTTTCTGACGTGAAAAAATAAATTGAGGCTCTAATACTTCTCGTATTTAGCGAAACCAGAATTACTTAAGTGTCGCAGGCCCAGCCTCGTGCTGCAGTTCTAAGACGATCATCAAGATGACAGTCATTTTGATAAGCACTAGTGCGCCCCTATATAGGTCGTAAAAGTTGCGAATCGTTCGTCGGGATTTTTGTTTTCTGCAGGAAAATGAACTAAGAATATTCGGAACGTATGAGAGAGCAAGTAAATTAAAATATATCTGGAGAGGAATAATTCCAAATGTCCTTAACATGGCCGGATTAATCTTTTAGATATACCTACACCTACGCTTGCTGTTATTTAGAGCGTCTTTGGACTAAAAGTGTGTCACGAAGAACTCATCCGCAGTCGAGGAAAGTGTTTTGCGGGGTGATTCAAAATCCAGGTTTGCCAACTTTGAAGGAATCTTGGAAGACGGATACACCGTACCCAACTCGCCGCTCATCAGAAAGCAAGGACTGGTCGACCCTTCGCAGACCTGGGATGACGTCAGTTGGTTGAGGAGCATCACCAAGTTACCCGTGATCCTCAAGGGAATCACCACCGGTGCGCACAAGCTTGAAAATCTCGCTCCTACTGCGTTATTACTGAAAACTATTGTGTTCCTGAGCTACCGATTTAAGTGGCAATGCAACACATCTTGTGCCTTCAATGAATATAACTTTGTATTATTCCTCGACATTCATAACGTATGAAGCGCGGGTAGTCTCCTTTTTCCACGGAATAATAGTGTCATCCAAAAGTTGAGAAAAACGAGCAACGGCACCCCTTGGGTGGTGCCAGTTGAAGAATTACAGACACACAAATAAGCAGCCGCTGCACTATCAACTATATTAAAGCTGTGGCATCACGAAGGGGAGAGGGGGGGGGGGGGGGGCGGAAAGCCCGAGTGCAGCACGGAGGGGGGTGCAGCTGCGTAGTGAAACGGGGGAGGGGGTTTGTGCCTTGCGACAAGCTGGGGGGCTGGGGGGGGGGGGGGGGGGGGAGGGTGTCGCGGCGGGCCATGAAAGGTGGGGGCGGGGTGTGTTTCGGCGGGCAACGTGTGGGCTAGAAGATTGGAGGGGGGCTGTCGCGGCGGGTACTGGCTCGGGTGCCGCTGACCGTAGTGACGTCACTGTATTGAGGCCTTTTTATTCCTTCCCTACTGTCAGTATTTACAACCTGGTTTGAAGCGCTCTTATTCCTTATTTACGCACTGGATTGAAACTTTCTTTCTCCACTAAATACTGATAGTAGTGAAGGAAAAAGAAGACTTCAATATAAATGATAATCCAGCGGTTTTCTATTTGTGTGTTTATAAGTGTGCAGCTGGCACCACCCAAGGATGTGAACCAACTCGCTCAGCTCCCACCGGTAGGCACTTCACCAGTTCAACTCGAAGCCTGAACAAGAAGCCACGTGATCAGGCGCTGACTCGTATAGGCCGACAATGTTTATCATAGTCACATGATGGAGTGATGCGCAGGGAACGCACTACGTTCCACACAATAGAGAGTTTTAAAATAGGGGATCCCAAAAGCTGTTGGTCCCCCAGAGAACTTGAGGCGTCGTATTGCGCGTGCGCAGTGCAGTGCCCCAAGCTCTTTGGGTGAACCGAAGCGTGGGATCACTCTGTTATAAAGCTCCCTATTGATAAAGTTCCCCTATTTCCCGCCATTGCAACGATAGGGCACGAGCCATTACTGAAAAACGTGCATTCGGTAGTGGCTCGTGCCCATAGTGATTTTCATCATTGAATTTCAGGTGACAGAATCGCATTCTCACGTAGTGCTCGTGTACACTATATAAGCCGCATCAAAATATTGCCAACGTGGGGCTCACAAAGCTTCATGACGATATCCTGAGGCTCGCATTGTCTACAACGCCAACTATGTAATTCCCGGAACTTTGTCATCAAGTTATCCGAAGGAGAAACTGAAAGAAAACGTCCGCTTTAATCCCTGAAATTACTCATTGACAATGAAGCTTCTTGTTCATCGGCGTTGCGTTTGAGTGAATCTGAAAATCATTTGGGCCGGTAAGTTTGAGTAAAGTGAGGAATAATCCAACCCAACATTGTTTCACGACCCCTTCAAGGGAATCTCCGGCGGTTATCTGAGATACCCAAACTGAACACATTTTGGAATAAACCAGCATATACTCTTCCCTACTTTTTCTATATCATTAATAAATTTAAATAGCTATTAAAAAAAACTCCAAAAGAGGGTGATGCCAAACCCAACAATGAAATGCTCCCCCACCCCCTCCCTTTTCTATAGAGGTGTTGTATACGTATATTGTATAGCTAGCAAGTCGAGCAGTCAGCCTAAAAACCCAAGTTTTGGCGTGAGCTTTTTCTGCATTTACATTACATAAACAAACTTCTTGTAACTCGCGGGAACAAGCTGTAGTGTCTCTGTATTGCAAAATAAAACGTGACGTTTTAATGTTGCCAGTGGGGCCTCTCAGCCTCGGAGACGAAATTTGTAAATTCTACAGCTTCCCCACAAAAAGGAACTCTTGTTCCTTTACATTTAGGTTACCAGTAGTTCGAATTTGTATAATAATGTGTTGAATCAATTTTGAGGCATACCAGTGACGACCAAAAAAGTTTCCGGAGGTGCGAGAAGCACACTATAACGTACTACGGGATCATGTTGATGCTGATCTTGAGCCACTTTTTGTCGTTGGGTGAGAAGTACTTAGCAGACGTAATCTGAGTACCATAAGCCGGTGGTTAACTTTCGCTAGACTAATACTACGATTATTGGTGACACCTTTTTCCCTATTTGTTCTTAGCCCGAGACTGAGGCAGGAAAAGAGGAAAGTTTCAAAGTAGACTGTTCATTTTTCTTCTACTTTGAAACTTTCCTCTTTTCCTGCCTCAGTCTCGGGCTAAGAACAAAATGGTTAACATCCACCAGCTCGCCTGCGCAATCACTACATTACCTTTTTCCCCATCTTCTCCAGCCGATGATGCGGAGAAAGCCATCAGCCACGGAGTTTCAGCGATAATTGTCTCAAACCACGGTGGTTGGCTGCTGGACGGAGTTGCAGCAACGGTGCGTTATTTACGAAGCGTTTTTTTTTTAAACACTTTTTAAGAAAGCCGTGACAAACGTGCCGGTAAAATTTTGGATGACCTCAGCGCTCCAACTTGAGACCCAGGTTTTACACCATTTCTAGAGTGATTCCTCTTGTTCCCATCAGCAGAAGACTTGGTTCGAAACGGCCCTGAGTGATAGGTCGGTAGCGAAACAGAGTGCACGCGTAACTTGTAATACTATTGAGACGGCTTCTGTATGTTGCGCGTAGTCTATACCAGAGACCACGTAAGATTACGCCCTTTTAACATGAAGAGATTGGTTGATCTCTACACCTGGTTGGTCATCCAGGTACAATGTTAAGCGACCCGATGCTTCAGCGTCACAAGTTCTCGAGCCTGACTAATAGACCAACTAGTACTTATACGTTGAAAACGTAGCAGCTCGTCCTTAGTGGGCTAAGGGGAAGTTCATCCTCAGTTTATTGCCCGAGAGGTAGTGATGAGTCTTAGTCACACCGAAAGCTAATGCCTGACTTTCTTGTAGGACTGGCTGTGAATTTTGCAAGCGGAAGTTCTGGGATAATTCTATCCCTTTGAATTTTAATAAGAGCAGATATTTTCAAATTCATAAGGTGCACCATAACAAAGAATAATATCCCTCTTTAAGAAAATAAAGTGGTTAGCTGTTGTCAAACGCTTTTTGTCTCTTTAAGAAACGCTCTCCTTTTTTGATACCATATATATTTCAAAATACCAGTGATTCGGTAGCCCAACATGATAAGAAAGGTAATCAAAACCATACGCTTGTAAAAGATAATGGGACATGGGTGCTTTCGTACCCGCCTGAGGTTTTATGATGACTTTTACCTTTTCCGATATTCCAGGGCTACAGTCTTTCCGCTTCTAGTGCATGGCCGAAATATTTCACTTGAGCTTCATAAAAGTTTATTTGTCTTATTTGAATTCTAGGACTGCGTCCTCTAGACGCTCGATTGCTTATTTAACATATGTTATGACGAAACTCCGAGATAAAGAAAGCGATGGACAATACGTTTTTTCCCAGTCTCGGGGTTTTGTCTCAAGATATGTTCGACCATAACCAGCTAGTCTGCGATATACGTACTCTGCGATACATGCCGTGTACTGCCATCTGGTTTTTATATCTTTTTCTGGAGCCTTTCAGCAGTTAGGACATTCCAAATTCTAGCCTGGCTTGCTGAAACACACTCTTCAGTAAGTTTGGTGGTAAGGTTCTGGAACTCGGGCTTAAGCTCCACATGTTCCTCTTGATCAAATTCTTTTGACATCATACTGTTTTTTTATTGAATACGGATTTCAACAAAAAATGGTCGTGAAGGCTACACAAATGAGGTCTCTGTAAGTGAGTAATACGGTCAGGTTGACGCCATGTTTAAGTGAAAATGCAACTAATAAATGACTAATTAACGAACATTCAGTAATTACATTTCGATTATACGTTTCATGGCGCACTGTTATATTGAAGAAACTAGGTCAATCAATGTTGAAAGCAAGGCCAGTTTTTACATTTTCTGGATCGAGCACGCAGTTTGAGTTATTCATAGAGCTGGGATTTCCGGGACAAAATTAGTGGTGAAACCCGGACAAAATTGGGACAGGAAGCGCCATAACATGAGGACACTTTCCGGGACAACCTACGCTCCTGTGAGTGCGCTCGGAGTGTTTATTAGCGTTGAAAAGTTTATTCTGAGTTTTATCACCAGAACACCCATTCTAATCTTGTGCGTTAAAGAAATGGTCAGGAACATCTCAAGTGTTAGTTTGCTTATGCTTTGACTTTTCTTTGTTAGTCCCAAACCCCTACCCCTCCTCTTCCACAAAGACAAGCGGTAAAACCCTGAGGGCTCGTTTGGCATACAAGTCATAAACGCCATTCGGAGTTTTCGGTGAATGCACCCACTCTATGTCACGGTTCTTACCTAGCGACTTACAAGATTTGTTTTTCGCTGAGCAGTCCGACTTCTCGGCCACTAAATCCAAGTTCTTCAACTGAGCCTTGCGGTTTCCAGCTTTGCAATCACATTTGGAATAGATCTGTACTTCTCGATCTGACCAGGGCGTCACTTTTCACGATTACTCGAAGCGGCTTCACGGCAGCAGTTGTCACTTTAATTTCCTCACCAAGTTCGCCGCCTTGCTGGGGTTTTCTGCATATAGTCTATTGCTGCTCTCGGAAATGTTTATTATCAGATTACCCCGGGCTCCTTAGGTAAGGTAAAGTTAGTAGCGGAAGCGAAGAGCGAACGTTGCTTTACAGATTTTGAGAGCACCCTTTAATGCAAAAGCATTAACTATCCCATGGAGCGGAGCCTGCGGCGTCTGTAACCGCAAAAAAACACGAAACAAATTCCCCGTTCTCCCATTGGTTGAGCGAAGCGGCTCCTAGATTGCCATTGGCGGCCGGGTCACAACAATTGCGCGCGCTTGGCTGCCGCTCTCGTGTCAGGCGTTCTCGGCGCCGAGGAACATGGCGGCGCCTGAGGCACGTGTATCGTCGGCGGCCGCAGCCTCGGCAGTGCGAAACGTGGCCGTCCACGCCAGTATACCGTAGACGAACTAGAAGAGCGGAAGAACGACATTTATGTTTTCGCATTCACAACTCTAAAAAAGTGCATAGGTGTCCTCGAACTTTTTTCGTTGGATGTGGTGTCACGGTGGATGCAATGACTCAAAAGTGAATGCATTTCCTCGATGTATGTCTCGACCCCAAGCTCCAATGACTCTCCTAAGTAGCGAGTCGGTAAAGACGACCATTTATTGTTTTCGAACACGTACTGCTTCGACTTGCAATCGCCGTGTTAGGAGCACAATCACTTATACCATTTTACAGCGCATCTAGTTTGCGAACAAAACGTTTTCGTAAGTTCTGCCACTATTCCAGCGCTCTCCGTATCAGTCAGAAAAAAAGCAATGTCATCCACATACAACAAAATGCGAACCTTGCGTGTGTTTAAAGCAAAACCGTGAACATGATTAATATAAATTATACTGAAATAGAACGAATCAATGTACAATAAAAAGTAATGACGAAAGAGGACAGCCGCACCTAAAACGATTTAAAAAAAATGTCTTTACTGATTCTCATAATTACGATAAGGCTTGTTGTACAGTTACAATTGGCCAATGGAACGCCTTCTAACATTACCGTCCCAATATCAATGTACTTAAAACTAAAGAAAAAAATAAAACCGTAATGAGTACGTTACGTACGCGATGTATATAGCTTTTAAAAAGATCGTGCAACATTAAATTTTTTTTTTTTATAAGCGCTGTCTCGAGAGCCCAAACATCAAGCTTGGCTTCTCATGCAGTTGTTTTGCATTGTAGCGTCACTGATCCTTATACCTGCTTATCGCAAAACAGGCATTTCGAAAAGGTTTGCACTCAGAGTGTTCGGCAAGCCTTTCTATGGCCGTAACAGATCAAGTCGATGACAGGTAAAGTGTAACTTGGGAGCAGAATATTCAGCATCTTGCTGCACAACATGCACTCTCAGAAAAGAAGGTGTATTCTTACACCCTTTGTCCCATATAATACACCCCAAAACTTTACTTGGAAGTACAGCGGACTGACGTCGATCTGACGGTACTAACTTTCACGTAAGGCTTGATAGCCGTGTGGTACAACTTAGTAAAATAGTTAATGTAAATGTTACTGACGACAAAAAAAAATCGGGGTTTTCTTGGCCCTACTGGAAAACCTCAGTGTCTTCTTTCAGCGGCCTTTGATACGTATCTTAGCTATTTAATAAGTTAAATCAGACTGGGGTCGTCTGTTAGATTACAGTGCGCGGTACGCCGAATCGAAGTTTTGGGGTGCATTATATGGGACAAAAAGGTGTAAGGTGATGCCCCTTTTTTAGAGTCTGGGAAGGCGATGATATGATAAAAAAGATTTGATTACCATCATCCTTACATAAAAAAAGTATTCTGTGAACGTTTAGCATCAAAATATAATAACTATTGATATATTTGATATATTGTTTTTTGGTAAAAGGGTAAACAATACTATTATTGCATGCGGTGTGTTTCCAGATTGAAATCCTCCCCGAGATCGTAAGTGCAGTCCGTGGCCGTGTCGAAGTCTACATGGACGGCGGAGTCCGTCGAGGCACCGACGTGGTCAAGGCGCTGGCACTCGGCGCCAAGGCGGTGTTCGTTGGACGTCCCACCGTCTGGGGGCTGGCGTACAACGTGAGGCAACCACCAACAGATTGAGTGACGCCCTTAAATAAAGTTCAATATGAGACTTTAAACAAGTTATACAACATAAGAAAGAAAAGACAACTAAAATTTTATAATTAAGCGTTGTACGAGCAAAACTCTGCAATTAACTGTGACTGGTTAGATATTTTTCTGCTTTGAAAGATGCGAAACACAGAAGCATTTAATGCGCTACGATCTCAAACAAAATGACCTGACTTCTTTTTTAATTGGACATTTTAATGCAATATATTTGTATCATAGACGCATGTTTAAATGATGTCAAACTTCAAAACAAAAACAAACAAAAAAAGTAAAATGAACAGAGTCCAATTAACAGCCAAAAATTCTCTGGAGGTCATGTGCAATCGGCAAAATAGTACGAATGTCTTTTAGAAAAGGTAACCTATCCAACGAACGGAGGAGTGCATATTGCCTAAATCTTGAAACTGGACGTCAAACTAAGTCGGTGTTTCCAATTGTGACAGTTCGAAGGTTTGGATAGGCTGATATTCTTGAGCAAGCGCGACTGTATTTCCTATTTCCCGATGTTTGCTTACAAATAAGTTTGGACACGCCAGCTATTCGCGGTGAAAAGCTCACAAGGGGTGCTGCTGTTTTCCTTACTATGGGTAGTGCACGTGCCGCACACGCTGTTATGTTGTAAAAAGGACCATGAAATGAATTTTGGCATGAAATAGACTGGAAATTTACTAACCGCATTATAGTCTAGCGCTCCAAAAGAAACAAAATAGTACACGAAGGTATAAAGCTAAAAGCCTGCCTTTCAGTACGAAAAATGTAAAAACATAGCGAACTATTTCTTATTTATTTATTTATTTATTTATTTCAAATACCCTCAAGGTAAGTACATTGAAGAGGGGAGAGAGTTGTAAAATATTGACTATAAAGTGCACATATTAGTAATAGCATTTTTAAACATAACAATATCAGTGATGTTCGCAATTGACGCGGGAAGGTGGTTCCAGTCTATAGATGTTTGTGGCATAAAAGAAATATTGAAATAATGAAGTTTTAAAATTTGGAATACCAACCTTATGGCTATGATCAATGCGAGCAGATATGTAGAATGTTGGAGTAATTAGTTTATGAGGAAGGGTAACATTTTGATGAAATATTTTATGAAAAAGACACAAACGAAAGATTTTTCGGCGGTGAGTTAGTAACGGTAGACCTAAAGTATTGTTCATGGCAGTAACACTGGCAGTGCGATGATAGTTTCTCAATATAAAACGAGCTGAGCGGTTTTGGATGGATTCAACATGAGCAATTAGTGACGAGTGAGCGGGGTCCCGCACAACAGCAGCGGATTGTAATTTTGGACGGATTAGGGTTTTGTGCATGGTTAGTTTTAATGAAGACGGAGCGAGGAAAAAAATTTCTTTTTAAGTATCCTAACATACGGTTAGCTCTGTTAATTACGTATTCAACATGAATCTTCCAAGAACGGTTACAAGTTATATGAACACCAAGATATTTGTAAACAGGCACTGAAGCGAGGGGATTATTGTTTAGATGATAAGTATGACACACGGATTGAGCACGTGACACTCTCAAAAATTGGACGTTTGAGTGATTTATACAGCGTAAGGTTGGTCTGCCAGTAGGGGCGACACTGGTTTACAGTGTAGATGAGCAATTTAGCCAGTGCAGTACGACCGCTAGCCTGGGGTCTTTAACGTGCACCACGCAGTAGTGGTACACGACCGCACGCCGGTACGATGCTCATCCAGATCGAAACGGGCAGGGGTGGGGCTCGAACCCAGGATCCCTTTGTTCTGCAGCGCGAGCTTTCGCTCCACGCGCGCCGAGCTGGGTGTGCGCTTCAGCCCACTCGGCCACCGTGGCACTCTCATCGATTTGCATTTGTTAGTGTTAAGTTCCATTAGCCACTGGTGACACCACAGTGATATACGATTAAGGTCAGATTGTAGAATAGAGTCAGATATGTCAGTTATTTTCCGGTAGATTACGCAATCGTCAGCAAAGAGGCAAATAGAAGACGACAAGTTCTGCACCAAATCATTGATGTAAATAAGAAAGAGGACCGGACCAAGCACTGATCCCTGTGGGACGCCCGAGGTCACTGGAACAGTACACGAATTTGTATTATTAGCAGTAACGAATTGTAGGCGGTTAGTTAAAAAGGCATGAATCCAATTTAAAATACAGGAGTCAATGTTAAGTGATTGTAGTTTATGAAAAAGGAGTTTGTGGGAAACTTTGTCAAAGGCTTTTGAGAAATCTAAAAAAACACACTCGGTTTCAATATCATTATCAAGAGAATTATGGAGATCATGCGTGAAGGATAGTAGTTGCGTCTCACATGAAAAATGTTTTTTAAAGCCATGTTCTGAACTTGTGAAGAAGTAATTAGTTTCAAGATAATTTATCAACTGTGAGTAAATGACGTGTTCAAATATTTTACATGGCACACTTGTGAAAGAAATTGGTCAATAATTGAATGGGTTTTGTTTTTCGCCAGATTTATGTAAAGGAACCACCTTACCAACCACCCAATCGCTAGGGACTACGCCATGGTTAAGAGACTGCATATAAAGTTTTGAAAGAATTATTGAACAATACATATTACAATTTTTTAAGAACCTGCTGTTAATCCCATCTATTCCGGCGCAGGATGAAAGCTTCATATTATTAATAATGCTTTCCATTTGAAAGCACCTCGCCTTTCCACTGTGATGCGTCAATAGTGCCCAAGCACGTCAGCCGAGTTCTACTCACGCTTTGGACAGAAGCATTCTACCGTGCGAAGGCATGCGCTTGTCAACAATCAATTTGTCGACGAATATTTGGATTCGCTTTCGTGGACCAACCAGTTCAGCGACGGCACTTTTCTCTGGCGAATGACAAGTTCCACGGTGTTCTTAAAACGCACGGTTGGAAGGTTGTTCACCTCGCATTGGGTGCCCTAGCACGTCACGAGTAAGTGATTTTTAATTTCGGTTTTGAGTTGAAGATTAAAGCTAAGAAGGCAGAAGTTGTAAGTTCATTTCATGGTCCCTTTAATTTTTATTGTGCATAGAAAGGTATTTCACGTGCTTGCACCAGCAGAGAATGTTAAAGTATCCTTCCTCTAGGTTGTGAAACGATTCCGCCAGGCGGCGACACCTACACTTCTCGCCGCGAATCAGCGTAATTCATTGTTGTGGAAATGCTCGAAACCCCTGCCGCGCGCCAATTCTGAAAAGAATACGGCGTCTGAAATCTAGCTGAAATCACTGCTGCGCTGTGCCGCCGCGATCCTCCCAAGGGCTGCACGTTGCGCGTGCCTCGCGCATCGACGCACCTTGTGCTACTTTTAAAACATGGAGAGTCTTTAAATCGGCATACGCATGGGCTACATCTGGGCGCTTCCAGTTTTACTCTTGTTTGCTTCTTTTTGTTTTGCATCCTTATGTTAGCTCTACTACTTTCTACAATGAGCACAGGTCCTTACAGACGTATTAGGAATAACTCCTCGAAGGAACATCTTGTTACCCAATCACAGTGCGTTGCTTAAAACAAATAAAAACATTACCGGAAGTCTACTGGGGCACAAAATACAGTGGTGCCCTCGTGGTATCAACTGGCCCCGTAAATGATGACGTCATAGCTTGGCGCTGCTCTCCACACATAGTTTCCAGGACCGGTGTTATGGATAAACATATGGGGGCTCGACGGGAGGTTACAAATTGCCTGATAAAAAAGTAAATATTTTTTTGTAAGCCTTGAGTCTTCTCCACATCTTGTCTTGGAAACGTTTCCTAGTCTCGGAACTATAAAGCGATGATAAAAACACGTCATAAAGTTTAACGACCGGTTTTGCCTTGCTAGCAAACGACAGAATGGCTTCGCGGGTTTGATGGTTCTTCTGAGTGAATACGCGACGGCATAAAGTTAATTTGGAAACGAGCGACGAAACTTCAGCAGACCGATCTCACTAAGCATTCGGCGCCTGCGTGACGCCGCCATTAAAATTTTACAATTTCACCGTCCTCTACAAATCAGGAAAAAAAACACCTGTATGCCGACGGCTTGTCCCGGTACCCCCCTTCCAGCAGGCTCTCCACTCCAAGACTCGCGCATTTTCCTCGCAACGGCTCCTCTGACCCATGTTGATATTGCTACAGCCCAGCTGGATGATCCTTTCCTTAAGCCGATAATTGAATATATTCGTGGCACAAACCCACATCCCCCTCAACGCACAGCACGCATAGCGCGTCTATTTGCGCTTCACAACGGGACGACGCTATTCGGGCAAAACTATGAATCGCAAGGACGCCCGTGGCTTGTTGCCATTTCCCGTTGCCTTCAAAACGACATTATTCGCCCTAATCAAGACGACCCAACTTCCGGGCATCTCGGCTTTTCCAAGACCTATTTCCGAGTTCGAGCCAGTTACTTCTGGAACGGAATGTATCGCGCTATTAACAAATACGTCCGATCTTGTCACGACTGTCGAGCAAGAAAACACCCAACGACAAAGTCACCCGGAACACTTCACTCGCTTTCACTACCTAGCCACCCCTTCCGAAGAATTGGAATTGACTTCTTGGGCCCATTTCCCAAGTCTACAAACAACAATCGATGGGTCATTGTAGCCATTGACTACAATACCCGCTATGCTGAAACGAAGCCAGTTCCTGATGCTAGCGCAAGAAAAGTTGCGAACTTTTTTCTGAACTCCATCCTGCTACGCCATGGCGCTCCACAGTCAGCCACAAGTGACCGAAGCACGCCCTTTATTGCCAAAATTCTCAATGAAGTCCAGCAACTCGCAAGTACAATCCATCATGTAACAACTGCTTACCCCCGCAGGCGACTAAACTATATACTAGCAAGCATGACGTCAATGTATATTGAAGAAAACCACACCAACTAGGACTCAATCCTTCCTTTTGTCACTTACGCGTACAATACCGCCCGACAAACAACTACAGGAGTTTCGCCGTATTATCTTTTATACGCTC